CTTGCTTTACTACAAGTAATTTAGGTTTTTACAAGGAGAAACTTACATTTTCTCATGGCTTGTCTGAGGACGGGAGAGAAAAGTGTAGGGATAAAGCGAGAATTTTCCCGGTTAGGTGAGCAAATAAGTACGCCTTATATAACGCAGATGGCGCGGTTGTAATAAAATTTGAATTTGAATTTTTAACTGAATAAGAATAAAAGAATTCATTTAATGACGGTACCCACCTATTCCACCTTCCGGCAATTAGAATACTTTCCCAAAATCACGTGACTAATCAAACGTTTTCAGTAAGGAGCATATGCGCCAATTTTGGACTAAGTAGAACACCGCACATGCGCAATAGCATTTTAACACACGAGACTAACAAGAATTTAAAATGTGTCCAGTGTGACTATGCAAAGAATGATTAATTATAAAACACAATTATCACCAAACATAACTCCAATGTTAACATCTACCTGATCTAGCATTTGTCAAGACTTGGACCCTGCCAAGGACTTAAAATGTGGCCGGTGTGATTTTTCACAAAGTGCAAATCGAATTTTAAAGCACATTTGTTAATACGTAAGACCAGTAATAATTTTAAATGCGCCTGATATGATCTGCAATACCGTAAACCCTTTTATGTTCTATGAACTGTCAACTCAATTCGCATGATCGGGATTCTACTGTTGGTTACTCTCTCTCACGTATGGTGGCTGTGGCTATGTCTATGGAATATATATGATCTAAGCATATAGGCATCATTTTAAACGCAAAGTGTATAGGATAAAAAATATTGTGTGAACCACGGCAGGAAAGTTGTTTTCCCGCCTTGGTACACAAAGTACATTTGTGAAGAGGTTTGCAAAAGATTTCGTAAGAACTTAAAAATCGCGCAACTTAGGTGTATGGTGAAGGCATATATCTAACGTTTTGTAAAACCGGGAGTAACTAAAGGTATTTCAACTGAAATCGGCTTATTGAATAAGCTCGATGTACAAATCTTCAAAAATATTCCTATTATTTTCCATATTACTAATTGACTGAGCATTGCCTTGCTATAGTGCATACTGTTTTATTATGGTTACAGTGTGATGGTGGGCACTTTGACCAATTATTGTAAACATTTATTTTCATAACTAGTATTATATTTTTTCATTAAGTAATAGTATTTTACATTATTAGCCAGGTAAGTGAGTTTTTACTGGCGATAGGAGAAGTGGACTAGCGAGCCGTTAGGCGAGCTTGTCATCTCCTAGAGCCAGTAATAGTACATTATATATCAAGGTAGAGAAGTCCACTATTATTGCCTGAGCACCAAGATTACATCTCGAGGCGCTTGCGCCGAGGGGTGTAAGGTGCGAAGGCAATAATAGACTTCTCTACCGTGGTATATATACTATTTTTTTCACTACTAGCACTTGAAATCCTCTAAATTAACATATTATATTGATAAGAGAGTTAACGGTTGGACAGAATTGTTTGTTTCTTAATTTAACATGTCAATCAAGTACGTGGAAGTACAAGTCAAACAGGCCGTATTTTGTTCTGTCATTGAGATTTTTCAAAGAGTAATTTCGTTCGAATTTTTCAAAATGTGATAATTTTAGGTATGTAATTTCTCTGGAAATTGCGAATGGTGGCAATTATTCGTTTTAGAGAACTTGTCTAAACGTTCATTGAGCGAAATTTCGGGTTGTGTTTTCTAAAAGTGACAGCGTGACATTTCTCATTATTGACTACTAGTTAATAATAAAAAATTATTAACCACTTTGAACAAATGCCGAGAAAGCCTACTTTACAAGTGGAAAAAAGGTTAATAATCATGTCATCAGACGCTAGTAGTGAAAAAAAACTATTACCTGGCGTATAATGTACAATATTTTATTTGTTACTCATTTGTAAACAATAGTAAACGTAAATAATTAGTTTTTAAATTGATCTTGAAGAAATGTCTAAAATATCATGTTATCCATGTAACAGAGATTTCGCATTAATTCTGGCCAATGAAATTACTAGATTACTAACTTGTAAAATTTTTACAGGTCTGCTGTCAGTTTTACAGGTCTGCTGTCAGTAGCGTTTAAACATGACGTTTACCCGTTTGCGTTTTGCCTTGTTAATCAACGTTTACAACTGAGTAACAAATAAAACGATTTCCGTTGAAAAAGATAATACATCGTCCATTAAATCGCTTGTAAAATCTAAACAAACGTATGTGTAAAATCCAAATCCAGTAAAGCCTATTATAGAGAATATGAAAAGTTGTTTCCATGAATGAATAGGAAGTTACTTACGAATAAAGTCTTAAATGCATCGATAATGCTGGGATATATGAAGGAAATGTCAAAGGTATTTAAATCTCCTATCTTTTGGTGCATTAACTTAAAACTTCAAACAATGCTGCGATTAAAAAGTGGAACAGATTTGGAAGCATACCCTAAATTACGCGCGTTTGTAAAAGCTTCAACCAAAGGTGTACATACAAGCCAAACAAATGTTCTGCATTTACAGCAAGCGACTTAGGAAGATTTTTTATTTCACCCAGATGACAGTTTCAAAAGTCATACTTGAAGTATCGTTACTTAGCAACTTTAAAGCACGTGTGTTTTAAAGGCCTTTTTTCGCGCGCATTTGAGTGTTTAAAACGGAGATTGTGATTCAGGTATACTAAAATAGTATATTTCATTACCAGTCCAGAAAGGAAGATTTTCCCGTGGGCGCATGACGTTTCCCAGCCGAACACGGGAAGTCATGCAAACACGGGAAAAGCCTTTCTGGACGTGTAATGAACGATATTTTTCATTATACCTCTCCGAAAATAACGGAGAATAATTATTTACATTGAAGTCCAAATCCAATTTGACAACAAATTCTGTTGCTTGTCTTATGACCCTTAAACCCCCATTATCTTCAACGCATCATCAATAGTCGAGCGAATTGTATCGTCTCCCCTGCATCTTGCTCCAAATTTCCGAATACTAAAATAACCTTAGTAAGTAATCACCATTTTATCTCTGCAGCTTCATTCAAAAATTGCTCCCTTGTTATACAGAACTTTTGATTTTTTTGGGATGTAGCGGACGGTCTGACGCTTCAAAAAGTCGGTTTTGCACAATTTGCTAGCGTTTTCATTTTCTTTTACCGTAAGAATGTTCTTAATCATTGAAAACCTACTCCATAACGTACTCTTTTCACGATTTCTTCAATGCACCAGTTATGAAATTTTTCATATTCCTTTTCGCATCTCTCTTTTGATTTCGCTGGTAATAGTTGGGAACTGGTTTCTGCAGCTTCCCTTAATATATTAGCGGGAATTTCGCCTTCACCAAAATCCATTTTTAACACAATGGTAAAAAATCGGTTGACATATATGTCAAAGTCAATCCGCGGTATGCATGGCAACGCATGGGATAGGGATAGCTATGGCAAACTTGATTATTCGTAGCGCACGGGAAAAAGTTTTCCAGTGCGCTCGCACGGGAAAACCCTACTTTCGGTGCGCTTGGGATACATGAAAAGACAGTACTTTCGGAGAGGTATAATGAAAAATAATTTTCGACAGTATGGTGGTTTATGTCACATTATAGTATATTAAGTATGGAGAACGGTAAGGGATTTTTACCGTTCGAAGACAATTGTTTGGAGGAGGAGCGGAGCGACGACTCCAATTATTGTCTGAGAACGGTAACCCTTAACGTTCGACGTGCTTATAACATTTTTTGCGCGATCGAAATTAAAATTATTCAACCAAATATAAATATGCACTAAGAAATTAACGAGCAGAATAAATCGAAATGATCGAAGTGGTATGGTGTACATCACTAGGTAACCAGTTTATTTGTCAAAATTGAAATTAATAATTTCATAAAATTGTGCATGTGTCTGATGTAGTTTGCTAGCTTTGCACTTCCTTTATGACTTTATGAGCCAGGTATTTGCCGGTGGCCGAATGGTATGTCGAAGATTAAATTAAAGATTAAATGTAATGTAAGACTGTTAACATTGAACTGATTGTTTTTAAAAAGGCGTCGGTAAGTATTTTTGCTGTTCTGTTTTCAGATCGGTAAGTAATTTTGGCGTCGTCGTAATCATAGCAACTGGTAAATTCCACTTACTGTCATGGAAACACACATGGTAAATAGTCAGAAATGACCGATCGCGCAAAAATATTATTAAATGAAAACAATTATACCTCGATAACGAATGATTTACGGACACACGTTCATAGGACATTTTTTACTAGAATGCAGCACGTAATAAAATCTTGTCCTTTTCCTCGCAGAACACCTTGTATACTATTTGTATAATCAATGCACTTATTTGTTTTGTATTTTTCTTTAACTAAACACTATCATTCCTTTAGAGTCCTTTTGTTTAAAATCTTAACGTGAAAATTGCAGCAAATTTGCCTAACCCAACTCAAAGCTGTAGGCGAGCAGTCAAAATCCTTTATGCAGATAAAGTGAAAACGCGAACTGATAAGTTTAGAAACTGGAGGGTGTGAATCGGATATCATCTTACCTACTTTTGCATTATTGAAATTTGAGCTAGAATAAAAAATTCGCTCTAAATAGCTTCGTTCTCAACATCCAGACAAAAACTCTTGAATTTATATTAAAATCGATAACAAAATAGTCCTTTAAGTAAATGTTATGGTCTGCTTTGTGCAGAATTACGTTTGTTAACCCACGTTCATTTTGGCTTCTCGTGAAACTGAAAAAATCTCGTTTTAAGTTTCACTTTAAGTATGTAGGTACTATGGGGTTGTGTGCGACTTCATAGACGTCGAGGAATAATAAATGGTTCTCCTTCACGATACGGTATTGTGCTGTATTTTATGGAACGTGCGATTGCTAGATTTTCGCAGGGAACGACTACTTTATTGTGTTTTTTCTCGCGTAGACTTTTACGGTTTTAATCAATATGGACGTCGAACATTCCGAGCATGTAAATGTTTTTGTTTTCGTTTAGTGAAAACCGGAATTCGATTTATGAAAATTATTTTTTTCCAGGTCGCGTAGGATGTCCACATTTCATGGCTCCCGAGGTGGTGGAAAGGCGACAATATGGGAAAGCTGTAGATATATGGGCGGCGGGTGTAATGTTACATCTTCTTTTATCTGGTACCCTTCCATTTCACGGCACCGGTCGAAGGCTGCTTGACACAATTTGTCGCGGAAAACTTTATGTAATTATATTTTCCAGCAAATCCAATTTACTGAATTGATCTATTTATAGTTAGATACCGCTCAGTTTGAAATAATTAGTGACAGCGCTAAAGATTTAATCAAACAAATGTTAACGGTGGATCCTTCGCAGAGGATAACAATTCAAGAAGTTTTAAGCCATAGATGGATACGGGTAAGTAATTTTAATTCGGGGGGATTTTGTTCTCATTTCGGTTTATGTAGGAGCGAGATAAAGGATTACGAATTCACCTCAACGACACCGTAGAAGAACTTAAAAAATTTAATGCTAGAAGAAAATTAAAAACTATGATACTAAGTGCGGTTAATTCCATTAAATGGATTCCTTGTGATGATTTTAATTCCGACAATTTTTCGGATTTTGAAGATGATGAAGCTTCATCTTGTGGTAAGTACGTTTTTTACTCAATTTTCTAATGAATTAATCAGAATGTGTAGTCGAGCCCGTCCGTATATCTAATCAAACAAAAGTTATCCGCGTTAAAAGTATTCATACCTACCTATGTATTCCGGACACCGTACAAAAGGCTGTATACGAGCCCAGGCGCATATAATAATTGCACCAAAACAAATAGACATTACTTACTTGACTTTTTTTATCGCCGTTTTGTTTATTTTATAATAATTGCAATTGATTAGATATTGTTGATGAATTGACAAAACTACATAGTGTCAAATAATCTGTGTGTTCCCGGGTTGTTTAGATTCACAATTGGGGCCGATTCGATTATAGGGTTTCTTAAATTCTTTTTTCGTTGATGTCGCACTGTGCCATTTTACATTCAGTAAGCTGTGTTTTCGTTATTATATATCCGTCAATATAAAAAGTCGCGGAGGAAAATATAGTAATACAATAAATTCAAATTCAGAGAATGGTGTTGCATATTTGCTTTGGTCCAATACATATGTGACTGATGGGCTCGTATTTATTTGAAGATATAGCTCAAGGAAAACTATTGAATTGAGATTAAACTTAATTTTTGACATGACAAATTAAAAGAAAACAAAAAAGAAAAGTTTCGTTTAAAATTTAATCGCTAGGCCTAAAATGAACGAAGGATCCTATTATAATCAACACGATTAAATTGTATGTAAAATGTAGCTTAAATGACAAATAAGTAATGGAAAAATTAATTTTCTAATTAAAACATTTAAAACGCCTGCACAAATAGGTATGCAGAAACATTAGATTTACTCCATTTCGTGTTAATTTGAAATTTCGATCATGATTAAAATATCTTGATGAAGTTATTTCACCACTAACAAATATGAAAACTTTTGGACGAGACGCCGAGAACAGCGAAGGAAACATTAATTACGTAACTTTTGAGTCGAAAAGTTTGTAATCAGACTTTGTTGAATTTTAAGATCAACTCCTTACATGTTCTTTTAGAAACTTATGTTTGGCATACTTAATTTTTTCGTAGCAGTTTATATTGAAATGTAAATGATGTCAAAAAATTAATGGCCTAAACTTATTACTAATTATATTATGTCAAATATTCTCTAAACATTTCGATTGCCATCTCAACTTATTTTTCTTGACTAAATCCTATCCTCTATTCTATAGTCATATATGAAAAATCAGCCAAACGTTCTTATCAAATGCTGCTTTATTTGCAGTTGAAGTTTAACAAATTGTGAATAGTCGATATTTTTTTCATAATTCGGTTTTAGTTTTTTAGTTAGATCGTAAAACGAGTGTTTAAAGGTAATAATAATAATAAATAATAAGTGGATATTTAACTTGAGCAGTATTCAAAAGGACGAAATTTAGACACAGACGTTAGCCAATATATTTTTTCATTTTTTTCCATTAGCCCAAAAAGCAGTAGCTGTCTAATACAGAATATCATCTACAATTAAAATTTGATTAGTTTTGTTAACAATTTCGTCTTCTATGGATTTTCTTTAGAGTTTACACTGACTGTAATTTTATGAATAAATTCGATCTTTTTCCACCTAAGTCATGCAATATTTTGTGCTGATGTTATACGGTGATATGAAAGATGGTTTCCAGTTTCATTTTCTTGTCTGAATACAGACATTTTGATTTGACAGAATTTAGACAAGTATTTCGGGTGGAATATAATGGTAATGGATCGCCATTTTAAATAGTTTTACGTTTTCGCAAAGATCGCCGTTTTTTTCTTAGATTTATGTGTATGGTTGATAAAGTGTAGTTTGTGTTTGGCCGTTTCTAAACGCCGTTTGCCATCGTGGACGTAGAGGGGCGAGTCTAAATTAAAGCTCGAGCGAACTCGCGTACGGCTCGTTTGGCATTGGTGTTCGAAAAAATGCGGGCCCTTTTCGTTGTGACACAGGCAGTGGCGTACCGACAGGGGGGCGGAGGGGCGATCCGCTCCGGGCGACACTGTGAAAGGGGCGGCAAGAATAATAATCATATTGATAAAATTCCTAACTTTGTATATGCGTACCAATCATTTAATGAGACGAAATGTGTATAAGAAAGAATCTTGGGAGACGAGTTGAAAGGTTTTTTTAACAATATGCATCAGTGTTGCTGGATGCGGAAGAAGATTTTCAAAGCTCAAAATGATCAAAAACCACCTGCGATCTACTAAAGCTGAGCAATTTAGCTATATTGTCAATAGAGCATACCCTTACCGACGAGATTGATTTTGACCAAGTCATTGCGAATTTTGCAGCGTTGAAAGCACGAAAAATAAAATTATTTTAAAATTGATTTTTAGTGATATTTCATTATTTTAGGTAAAATTTAAATTTAAAATTTAGTAAAATTTCGATTATCTTTGATAGATTTTTTTAAATAAAAAACTGACATTAAAACTTAACCTTTACTTCCCTCGCCTAACTCATTAGGGCGGCAAGTTTGTATTCCGCCCCGGGCACTAATGATCGGCGGTACGCCACAGGACACAGATGAGCTCGAGCTCGCCTTCGGGTCGCTCGGCATTGGTGTGCACTTCTCATTTTGTAACGGGAGCCCTATATTGGTCCCAAAATTCAGACGAACGGTTGGTTTATGCCGATCTCACCTTCGGCTCGCTCGGAATTGGTATGAACTCCGTGATTTATGACTGAAACCGTACAACAGACTTCAGAATTTCGCACGAGCCGTTGGTTTACGCTGATCTCTGCGTTCGACTCGCTCTGCATGAGTATGAACTCTGAGTTTTGTGACTGGACCCGTGTTTTGTACCAAAAAATCGACAGGTGGCCATTGGAAATGTAGTTAGGTATTTTTGAAGATATCTTTGGGGTATTATACCCGACAAAAAGGCTTAAAATAAGATTCTCTCATAGTAAATACAAACATTCAGAAGGGGGCGAGGTTATAATGTCATAATCAATTAGAACTACTACATATAGACCATTATATAGAAAGTTAGCCCAGAACATAGAAGCACGAGGAGCCCAAATTTAAACGTCTAGTTGTTAAATTCGTATTGAAATAGCGTTTTTTTTCTGTAATTTTAGGTATTGTCAATGCATTTTTATTCTAGAACGTAGTTTACGCAGTGGCGGATCTAGAGAAACTTTTCGATGGGGGGGGGGGGGGGCATATTGTGAAAATAAAACTTTTAACTTCGCTCGCAAAGACGCTCTATCCCCCAATTACGGTTACGGAGAACATTTTGTATACGTTCTGCACATTTTTAGAAAGAAATAATGTGGGGAATGTAATGGAAATACTGTAAATTAAGTTGTCTATAACCTTTTTGGGCTTGTCGAAGGGGGCAATTGCCCTTTTGCCCCTTCCTGAATCCTCCACTGAGTTGACGCACAGTTATAACCCGGTCATACGTTTGTTTTAAAAGGAAAATTGATTATCTTGACTATCCGCCCACATAGCGCACCGCTATTTTTGGATCTAAAAAACATCGCCGATGATTTTTGCCTACCGTGACGTTCCAAAAATACAATTTCAGCAGTTAAAGTACTGGTATTTTGTTTTTTTCTTTTTTTTTGAAGTTTTCCCTTATAGGCTAAATTTAGCCAAACTCAGAACTTTATTTTGCACCATTTTTAGGGGTGAACCATCATGCCGTACATATTTTGAACACTTTATACAATATATTTGTCATGTCCTTATTTACTCGAATCACCTTCCATTTGCCTGGTTTTCCCTCGCTCAATTTGCTACTACCTACCGTAGAAAGCGTGTAAAAATAACTATTGATCAGATTTAAATAGACGTGCTATCAAAAGAATAGTTATTTGTGTACCAAGGCCGTAAAAGTGATCTTTTTTGGCCGAAGCTGCTGTTTGTGGCCGAGGCGGTAGCCGAGGCCGCAATTCAGATGAGGCCTAACAAATCACTTTTGGCCAAGGTGCACACAACATTTTTTAGGCGATCATCAAAAAAGAATTCAAAAATTTGCTCATAAACATATTTTTTCTGAAAATCATAGTTATCTTAGACAATTAAAAACAAAGCATTTCCTGTCATATGTAATAAATTATAATTAGCATCTTTCCGTGTCTTTTGTGCGTATCAAAATGGGTGATAGCGACAGTTCAGATACCTACCCAAAATGAAATTTTGGAAGCTGCAAGCGTTGCGACCCTATGTCATATATGATATAAGAGCAGGCGTTTGAGAGTAAAAGTACAATCGCAACTTCCTCCGCTGCACAAGATTTTAATAATGTCAAATGCAATACGTCCTTCGTAACTGTGGCTTCCAAGACCTTATAGTTAACATGCTGTACAATTATTAGAATCCTGATTACCTACTTTGATGGTAGGTATAGGTAGCTACTTGTGTTTTCGGTTAATTGCTGGTGATTCTTCGTATAATAATGTAAGCAACAACATCTTCCTCATGTTTTGGTTCTACACTTCAAAACGGTCTGCAAGCAGCAAAGATTGAAACGTCAAACTATAATTTTAAATGTGAACATTGTGATTATGCAAAATGGTGTGAAACATTCCTACAAGTCCGAAAATGAAAAAAAACGCACGTGGATGGCCCAATCCTTGATGGGGCGAGACCAGATAGACGCTTTGTATCAAACAGATTACTGTTTCTCAAACATCAGTTTCAAATAAGTACAGTTTGACAGATGTGTACAATAAAGTAAAGTTTGACAGAAGCGTACAATAAAGTGAAACTTTATGGCCGCAAAAGCGACCATAAAATCAACATTTTTGTGATGATAGCCTAAAAAAACTGTTTCATTCTAAAAGTAATGGTGGGTTTATACCATCATTATCATTAGTTATCACTATCATTGAATCATTAAGAAATAGCCAATAGAAACAAAGGTATGGTTTGGTTGGTTAGAAATGCACCAATAAACCTTTTCTATTGCATATTTCTTAATGATCTAATGATAGTGAACTAATGATGATTGTATAAACCCTGCCTACAAAACCTTGAAACTGGCACTTTGTATCCTTCCGCTCAAAATCTGCAGTACCAATATCTTCAAAAAATTTTATTCACATCGGGTGAACGGCTAAATTTTATGTCCCAAACTCGAGTCTACATACTGGGTTGTGCGTCTTCAGTATCCATTCTTCGAACTAGTTTTCGCACGATCAATAAGTTCACCATACATTTCCGATTTTTAAATCTCGGTGATGCAGTTTTCTAGCTCGCTTGATAAGGGATGTCTTCTTTATGGAAACCGTCCGGCATAGAGTCTTGCAGCAGCATGTACATACACTTTCACTGCATCTACCAAATGCCAAGCACTAAAACAATGTGATTCTGTAATACTTCCTATTCTACCAAAATAATATTGTAATAACCATTTTCATGTTTAGAGGGTGCTGCTGAATAATGCGGTACGGTATGTATATGACTATTTTATCTCGTATTTTATATACTAATGGACGTGTTTTTGCATTTTTCTGAAGACACAACAGGAAAAAAGATTTTTACGAATTGTTTGTGTCTAAGTAATTTCGAGTGGTAGGTACCTATACTCGGAATTAAAGCAGATCAATTTGAAGTAACTCTATTATTACCTTTTACATTAAGGCTACTTTCGGGTTTTAGTATCGAAATTAATGCAGTTATAACTCACAAATAAAACTACCTGCGAGTCATAATTTAACATTATGTAATAAATATTTACCTCTCCGCTCTACACATTCGTAAATTACATACTAAGTAAACGGCGATTTAGGTAATATTTGTTTGATAAAAATCGACCCAATAGTTTGTTTACAAGCTTTCAAAGCTTTTACTATAATTTTAGCTTGTTTTCTTATAATACTTACAGATAGTACGTAGTATATAATCTTTACTTATTTCTACTTTTTACTCTTGAATTGGAAGTTCTTTTAAAAGTGAACTTTTCTGTATCTTAACTTTGTGCTGATGAGTATGCGTTTTAAAAAGAGAACTGGAATACAATCCGCGAATTCTATTGTACTTTTCTACGATCTGATCAAAGAAATACCGCTGTAATTTTGACAAATCAATTTCATGAAATAAGATACAGCTATATCTACCCGTAGTCTACTCTTATACAAGAATCGTTAAACTAGCGTAGAGTGCGTTGGAGAGCAATGGCTTTCCCAATGGTATTGTCTGGCGTGGTAAAAAAGACTCTTTACGAGTTTCAAACTACCGAACATCAAAATATTTTTATCTCCGTAGATAGACGGAAACGTTACATTTGTCGGTATTGCAAATGTTCACTTTTACCATAAAAAAAATAGGTACATTTCACTAATGGGATTTTGTCTCGAATTTTGTGCTTATATTTAGTGTTGTGATCAGTTTATGTCAATTTTTGATAAGAATTACCATGCCAGATTTAACAAATTTTATTTATTTACGTTTATTGTTGTTTACAAAGCAGTCACAAATAAAATATTGTACATTATACGTCAGGTAATAGTTTTTACTGGGTCTAGCCAGAGACTTGGTCTTGGTCTTATAGTATCTGGATAATAATTTAAATATTTATTATCATGAGGCATTCAGATTCACCTTGATTATTCGACGAGAAGTGTTACCAATATAGAATATAGAATATATTTAACTATGTGTAGTAACACCGAAACTGTCTATTGAAAATATGACTTTGTTTATGTCAGAAGTTTACTTACCTAATATGGACGAAGTACTGCTTGGAATAGCAAAAGTCGAACCTTTTTAACACCGCAAAGTTGTGCTTGTATAAATTTCTCTACCTATACCTACGGCGAAATGTAGTGAAGTGGTCGGAAGTGCCATCCATTTTAAAATATGATTTTAAACATTACAATTCCGGTTTTTACTTTACAGAAGCAATTAGAGCAGAATTTGCATTTTATATATAAATATCATTCAATTTTCTGTTGAAGTTTTTTAACTCCCTAAATATAATGTGATAAAACCAGAGTAATATTAAACTGCCATTTAAATACAATTAGTAGGAATATCAATTCGTCATTCATATTCTTTACCACATTCGCAGTTTTATATCAGCGAATTTTTAACGTTTATTCGATACTGATGCTGGTAAAGTTCATTTTAAAGTACCGCTATTACATTTAGTTTTAATACACTTTTAATAAACTTTCCACAAACGTTTACTACTTCACCTGACTATAAGTTAAATCTTTTATTATGATTGCTTAACTTCTTCTACACACTTTATTCCGAAACGGACGAACTTCGTCTTCAACAAAACAATTAGGAGAGACAACAAATTTAAATAAAATAAACCAACTTTGTGTTTTTTGTAAGTAATGTCCCAGATTTACTTAATAAATTGAAACATTCTCATATACACTGTATCCAAGATAAGGATGTCTATCATGGGGATCTCCGAAACCATAGAAGATGTGCTGATGGTAAAATTAGAGAGAATATGTGTTAAAGTAAAAATGTTAATTGCCATTTTAAACAAAAATTAAAATAAGTTGGCGTGTTTAAGAATGAAAAATTCTGTCAGTCAATTTTGTAGAATTGTATTCTTTTTCACAAAAGAATAAATACATGTTCTAATTGTGCTTTTTGGATATATAAAATAACTTTAATAATATGGGCAATATTAAAGTGTTATTATTATACTTTAAACAAAAACCAGAAAATTCCGATTACTTCCGCAGATATGCCAGAAAAACCGAAATTTGCCGATTTCGGGTTTATTTTTTCTCCTGTTATTTGAATAGATCCAGAAAAAAAATACGTTCTCATTACCACTTTTTAAGCTCTACAAGACAGCGTCGAGCGATTTTCAATACAACGTTTCGTTTAGGAAAAACCATTATCAACTTTATTTTTTATATGGTCCGTAAAAAAAGCATATACTGTGTTGAGTAACATTTTTTATTACGAACAACAATGTATACGGCACACGAAAAGATCAAAAGTTGAAAACAGTTGGTTTCAACCACTCCCGCACAACGCCCGAATCGTGTGAAAATACCTGTGGGACAAATTTTTTAAATAAGATTCAGACGTTGTGCGCTGTTGCACCATCCTTTTGATTTTTTTTGTATGTACCGTATCTCGTTGTAGTCGTAATAAAAAATGGTACTCAATGCAGTAGTAGGTATTTTTTTTATGGGCCATATAAAAAAATAGCGAAATCGGCAAATATCGGTTTTTCTGGCTTATCTTCGGAAATAATCGGAATTTTCTGGTTTTCTTTAATTGCGCATCTTTCCTATACTTTGACGATCGTTTATCTTATATGGTTTCCGAAATCCCCATGATAGACATCCTTATCTTGAACTATCTTTATTTGTTTTAAGAAGTTATTTTCATTGCATAAAATTAGGTGCCCTTCAAAAGAGATTTTGTCATTTAAAAGTAGACATAGGAAAAAACAATACACATACATATTATCCTTATGTCTTCTTAATAAATATCACTGTATATAAGTTTTTGATGAACTGTTTTCATTACTGACGCACTTCCGCAGTTCAGGTCAATCTCACTGAAGTGAAAAAGTCCTCATTCAGTTATCTAACTTGAGTCAACTGTCACTTTTTATTAATCAGTATCCTCAATAAACCATTCATCTTCTTCAGCCGGTGGCTTTCAACACTTGTTCTTCGATATACATACTACCTCCATATACGACGGCGACGGGTGGATTTAGGTCTCGGTCTCGCACGAGTGTAGGGCGGGTCTCTTTCACCTTCATGTTGATCGTTTTCCTTTAAATTTCTTAAATATCGAGACGCCATCTTATGTCTCTTTTTTCCATTAACAAGTTACGTTTGCCACTTCTTATATCGAAAACCAAGTTTTAACAATTGCGACCACTTGACGAATTATATTGCGAGCTTCAGAATGAACAACTTTTCCCTCTAAACTCAAGATTTAGGACTTCTAAACAATTTTTCCACCAATTTGCTCTATAGAAAATAGTAAGGTCAGGTATGGTTTACATCTAACACTTTAAGCAAACTGCTGACGTAAATGTAAGGTATATACGTTTTGAAAAAGACGTGTTCGTATAAAACAGGAGCGTAGACTGTCAATCTATAATTATAGCACCGAGTATAGCACGGAATGTACCGTTATGTTTTTGAACGCTTTCTATTGGCCAATTTGAATTATGTTAAAATTAGTTCACATATTTTCCGGGGACATTGTAAGCTTGGTGGCACACAAATCTTGCTTTGTTAAATATATGCGCTTTTACAACTCCAAAAGGGAAAGGAACCATTAAACTCCAACTCCAAAAGGGAAAGGAACCATTAAATTTTTTGCCCTTGGGCATTGAATAAAAAATATTCACTGCCTTGGGTAGGTATATTTTTGTCTGGAAGAAATTTGGAAGTGAATTATGTTTTTTATATTATTTTATTTTTATGTTATTGTATTTCGCCTTTATTTTTGAGTGGGCGAGGTTTCAGCCAAGGCTTAGAAAAAATAGTATCGCGTTTTAAAGATAAACACACATTTCTGTAATAATTAGACTAATGTGCTGCAAAAATTGCATTTTTTACACATAACTCGAGGTCAACAATAAAGTCATCAAAATAGTTATTAAAAAAATATCTGTAACGGAAAAAAGGAAAAAAGTTTAACAACCCAATACTATTAATTTAATAACTTTAAAACTTTTAAAAAGTTGGTGTTGCATTTAGCTATTTCCAGCGGAGAGTACGAAATTCGATGACCATCCTTAATTTCTTTGAGAAGATTAGACGCGGTTTAATTTTACTTTTGTTCTAGCGGTAGCAACAATTATGGATTCGTTAGATGATATATATTGCCTACAAGAATCTGCACCTCACGAGCGAGCTCATCTTTTAGCACTTTTAGAAGATAGAAATCTACATTCCTTATTAGAGGTAAGTAACCAAATTTATGTAGGTACCCATTTTCATTTTTTATTTGATTTTACGAAGAACATTTTCTCTGGTAAACATCTAAACTTAAAAATTCAAAATTATTAAAATTTTATAAGAAATTGTTACGCCAAGGGTGGGTCCAGGATGATGATTCGGTATCGTATTTTTCGTACCCCCCACGTAGAGATGGGTTCGGGGGATCCTTCCCCGCAAAATTGTGAATTTTATCATTTGTCAATGACACTTTCTCCACTACTCTGAAACTGTCAATGGTTTGCGAAATTGCGATAAATTGGCCTCAACTCGATGGTAGCAAACTGGAATTTCTTTGGTTTGAGCAGGGCAGCACGACCTGCGACACAATTCGTATTGGAAGGCCCATTTCCGAGGCGTTTTATCTGCTGAAATTCCACTGTCAACTAACCACTGAGATTTTTTGCTCTGTAGTTTTGTGAAATTTTGGACCTATTCCCATGCTGCACGGACTATTGTTCTCAAACTCAAGGCTGAGATCCACCAGATACTAAATGAGAAAGAACCGCAACTCTGTAAAAAAGTAATAAGAAAATTTTGTGTTCCGAACCGGTGGAAGGTATTTTTAGGATATTTTCTTTAACACATAATCGGAAGTTGTCCATGCAATAAAAGAGTCATTTAAAGTTCGGCATTTTAAAAAAAAAGAGACACCCTTTGCACGAACTAATTCTTTTTACTCTCTTTGTTTGATAGGGACATAGGGTGTAGAAAAAAGACCGTTATTGCAATACAAAACCGCGTATCCAAAGCCAGGACATCAAACCACTACACGCATGTCATCAAACTTTTATGAGTTACGTACTTTTTCAGTAATTGAATTCTAGTATCGCTATACGTGTAATTTGTTTTACACTTTCATGAACGCGTCATCACCAAACGTGCGCATAATATTAGCAATAATGAAACATTTATGAGCGTCGACAATAACTTGGAGAACTGGTTTAATCAAAGTCTTCCTGTACCTTTATCATTTTAGTGCAACGCAAACTAAATAAGTGGAAGTATAGGATAGTCCTTCCTCCTTCAGGTTCTAAAGTAGGTAAGCGGGAATGAAAACACTTTTCTTAGTTTTAAGTTAAATTATAAATTCGGTTTTGTAGGCGTTGCCAGTTTTAATGTTAAACTCAACTTCAATTTCTTTTTATTTTCCCTTTGAACTTTTTATTAAAGGGAATGAAAATTAAATACGCCAAAACGTGTCGCTACTGCAATTATGAAACTTTATTAACTGATTTAGTACCTAATTTATGATGTATTCCAGTCTTTAATAATTAGAGGTACCTAAATATTGTTTTGCCCATTATCATCGCTTTACCGTATTTCGGTGGATATTAACAACAGCTTTCCCATTGCAATTTTGGAGAAATTATTGCCTGAATAGCGATTGGTTTCAGGTCTTGGTCATGTGGTGTCTTGCTGTGGGTAATCTTTCACTTCTTGTTGTTTTTGGTTTTATTGCAAATTTTTAATTAAATGACCGCGCCTTTCACCCTAGAATGACTGGACTAGGTACTCATATATTACCTAATAAAAATTAGGCTTTTAAAATGGTTTAAATAGCAGAGATTTTGTACTAAGTAGAGTTGAAAGGTTGTCATTAAAATGAAATCGTAGTAAAAACTTTAGGTTTCTATTTGGGGATCAACTTTTGAATTTGATTTTCTTTAGTAGTTTTAGCTTTACTAATACATTCCAGTGACTTACAGTCTTAAAAACCCAATAAGTCCTTAAAAATGAAAGAAATAATTGATACGTGTAATTTAAACTTAGCTTTTGCTAAATCCTACGGATTGATATCCATCGTTGGAAAATTCGTCTGAAATACCATCGAGTGAATTCCAAAAGAAATTGGTTTCTTAGGTGCGGGGTTATGATTTCTCCATTACGAATAAAAGTTTCAAATTTAGTAGCTTGTTCGAATCTGAAGGTAACGGTAAATAAATTTTATCGGTTGCAGGTGCTTTAATCGTCCTTAAATTCTTCGCTGAAATTTAAATTTTGGCTTGCAACGGTTTTAAGATTGGTTCCACTTAGTTCTCATACTGGGTTGTTGAACTTAAATAAATGGAATATTAGATTACGAGTCTGAAAATTCAATATTTTGCAAGATAACACTTTAGCACTGTGTTTCTAAGCGGATTTTTGGAGACCTGTGGCTATAATAATTTAGATTGACTGTGTTTAGGTTTGTTAAAATTAATTAAGAGTGCTCTTATGTGCTACAGGTTTTTTATTCAGAACTTTATTTTCTTTCACAATATTTAAAAATTTACAGAGTGTACCATTCAAAGAATGTTATTACGTTTGGCCATTGTAATCAATTCAAGAAGAAAAAGCCTCTTTTTGGTAATTGGCGCGATTATCTAAGTATTATTTAAACAAAAACTGAAAACCACCGATTTCCAATAAATAACGTCTTACTTGTTAAGATTAATGTGAAAGTTTCTCAACCCCAAAAATGAAATCAAAATAAAATACAAGACGGCGTTATGGGATTTTTATATGGTTAAAGAGTATTTTATTCTCCTTTGCACGATGCGAGATGTTTATAAAATATAGAATTATCACTTTTTGTCACAGCTTTTTCGCAGCTTTTATAATGGCAGAGAGTCGGTGGTTTTCAGTGTTTGTTTGATAACTTCTAATCGAAGAATTTTTATACTATATAACCTAACTTTAATTAGCACTACGAACCTTGTAAGTTATTTAAATACTTCAAGCTTAATTCTGCGGCACTATTACTACTACAACTTTTGCTACCTTATTTTTGTATCATTGATTGTAATCCAGAATCCCTTCCACATATATTTAAAACGGTATTGTAGCTATAATAAAAGAATCGTTCGGGCAGTTCTTGTTGATAAATAATTCAAACTGGGTTTTATTAAATTGAATTGTAAAAAATATAGTCCGGTTCGATATCGCCTTTTATCTAGCAAGTATTCCAAAGTTAATGGAATTTTCACTGGGTGCTTGGGGGCACACCATCAGGATGCTAAGTTTTCGGCCTCGAGGACCGTGTGCTAACTTGGAGGAGGGCCAAAAGCCCAACATTTTCGGACTTTTTTCAGTTTGTCACTTATGTCTCGTATATATTCTTTGTATCATAGGGCCCAGTGTCCTCTATTCCTTATCATCATTATCGAAATACTTTCACATTCTCCGTTTCTGCTAGCGTTTGTTCCTTTTTATTACATCTGCACGTAATTCGCTTAGATCGAAGGTTTCTTCAAATTTAGGACTAGTTCAGGATACGTTTTCTGCGCAGATTGAATCCACCGGCACCGCGCGGAAACCGACGGATCTGTTTGTGTTGCATCAAACAGAATTTACGTGTTCAAGTAATTTATCAAAAAGCGTTCTCTTAACTTGTGATATAGAAAACCTAATACCACTGACCATGTTATCTCCTTCGATTTCTTTCATCCTCTAGCATAAAAAGCTATCCTCCCTCAGTTTCTTTTACCATAGACTTCTCAACTCCACTGAGTTTTGTACTATCCCACAAATTGTCAGAGGCAATAAATACCCATTCAATTTGATATCCAACCTTTACCAATAAATTTCGATCATTACCGTGTCCGTGCCCAAAACCACTCTCAAGTCTTCAACCTCAGACTACAAATACGTCCTTATATACGCCCGGTTTACAATTTCTTCTGCAAATTTCTGCATAAACATCACGTCTCCGTTTCGTTTTGGTCCGCTCACATCAACCCACACTAAAGATCTCGTTGACCCTTTCACTCGTTCAGGCATTTACAGTCACCTGTAAGGATTGTCCTTCCGGGTATGTAGGTCAAACTGAACGCAGCTTCTATATCCACTATAATCCAACCCCATGCGGGGGGTGCGAGTTTCCCAACCACTCTTGGATTTAGTTTCGCAATTTCGTTCACTTATTTTGCACTTTTGAATTAACATTTTTTTGCAATTAATTAAAAACAACTAAATAAGATAGTAATGGTTTACGTATAATGCCAGGACAATAAATATTCGCGGTAGAAAGAATCAAGTAATTTTAAACCACATGCATATTCCCTATTCTTGTTCTCCATTTAGATAATCAACTTGAGGATCTTCCATTTTTGTGTTAAAGGGTTTCGACTGGACTTTTTGGAAATTAAAGCCATTTACAAGCAATTTAAAGAAAGTCCTTAATTCTCCCTGAACGAAATTTTAGAACCCCCTTTTCCTGGATTAACCCCTTGCTTTCAGAACTTGCACTCTTCTTTTTGGAGAATTTTTGGAAAGAAAAATCGGAACATGTAGCAACCAACACGCCCTTTTAAATAACGCACGAGTATGGGGGAGGGTTAGAGCTTAATTGAAATTAATTGAAATTGGAGGTGTGAGTATAACATTTTGGTGGATGATATTATACGCGAATTGAATGTTTCCTTTTACTTCCTGTTTGACAGGAAGTGTCTTAAACTTTGAAATGCACGAGTGGACCAAAATCGTTCTTCATTGACTCAATATTTAAAAAAATCCATTTTGCCCACTTTGCCCAATAAGGTTTAGGTAATTTGTAAAACACCGGGCATTTTTGATATTTTTTCTATTATTTTGCATGTTGATTAAGTTTTTGTTTGAGCAACCTCTTATATAGATTATCTAAAACAACGTATCATTGCAAAAATGTCTGTAAAAATCAAAAATTTCAAAATATACAGAGTGTACCTATCATGTAAATTTTCAAATTTATAGCCGCTTTAGTTCAAACAAGGAATGATACGAAAGGATTGTTTATAGTATTAAATTTATTTTCCCTCATAAAATTCTGCTACCTCAATAACCATTCGTTCACTGTGTGACAATATTAGTATTGTTTAAATAAGTATATTTTGTTTTATTGTCTGTAGGTTTGAAATCAGCGGATACGTATTATAATTTGACATAGTCAAAGAAAGACAGTAGGTAATATTAAATTGATAATCGCCCTACATAGTTGCGTTCTCGGGAAAATAGACAGTTGCTTGAGAATGATGCTCGGGAAGTTTTAGTAAACCTAATTTGTCGTGAAATATTGAATTCTTCTTTTCATTAGTTACAGATAATTGAATTTTGAACTCTTCAGGGTGATCTTAATTTATATTTGACGAAACGCAGATGCGTCGACACTATGTGTATCATTTATATGTATAGTGTACGTACTACAACCAATATTGCAATTAGCATGGCGAGCCCGCGTGTATATGCAATGTACAAATTCTGTAGGTTTAGTATACATTAGTATACATTAGTAGTCAAAAAAACACAGACATACCTGGCCGTTCCGTTGTTTCCTGTGTCGAGGGCATAAGGGAATACGGCCATTTCTATTTGGGGCTGCAAGACGGTGTATTTACAAGGAGAAAATTATATAGAACGTTTATTCGCGACGCACAGCATTGGAAACCTTTTAGAAACGCAATGTTTGTTAATGTGGAACCACAAACGTTGTAACACTTTTGACATTTTCACTTGTATTCATGGAATTTTGTGCACAATTTTAAAAACAATCATATCACCTCATCATTGAAAAAGTCTAAATGGAAAGTAAAAATGATTGATAGATTGAAATTCCTTCTGATATTAAGATTGTTCTTCGGCTGCTTGATATCGTCCGCTTTGATTTTTCGAATCTCTCAATTTTTTGAGTTCGTTTGAGATTCCTGAGACCTCCAGATTTTTCATTTCTTTAGATGGGTTTTCCCATTCTTAAGTTGTCTTTCCATTTTTTAGTTGCTTCGGGCTGTTTAGTTCAGATTTTAAAGATTTCTTCGGATTTTTCGCATTTTTAAATTTTGATACTTTAGCTTTATAAAGTTTGATTTTGTCAGTTTTTCCTTCAGTTTTTTAATTTTTTAGATTCTTTTCAATTTTTACGATTTCTGTCAAATTTTCAGGTTTTGAAATTCTTTACGTCCATCGGTCCTTGGATATTTCTTAAGCTCTTTCAATTCCTCACATTCTTGGAATTCTTCAAATCGAACAGGCTCTGGGGATTTGTTGAATTCTTTTGATTTGAAGTTATTAAAGTTGACCATATCATTATCACGCAGCAACAAGTCAGTATACTGTCCATTTTGGTAGACTTTTGGAAATTCAACTGGACGGAGTTATAAGTACCTGGTAGAGGACTCAAAAGAACAGATGAGAAACGTCAAAAATTTTGAAAAATCTTGAATAAACCGATCCTGGGTCCTAGGTTTTCATGCAGATTTCGAAAATGCAAAAAAACAGCATGTTCTATATAAAATAAGAAGTTTGCCCATGAGATGAATTTGATGCATTTTTGTTAACTATAATATGTATTTTGTAAAATTAAAATAAATGGTCGTTAAAACGTGATACTGAGGATCTTTCGATATGTCGTATCGATTTATTTTTAGTAATTGTAATGTGAAGAGCGCTCATAACATCGGTGCTGTTTTTATAATGCGATAAAACGACTTTGAAGCCGACTTTGTATATAATTTAGGTTATAAATTGCTAATTTGAGTACAGATTCACGTTAAAAAGGTGATCATCGTTAACTTACACCTGCTCAACAAACAGAAATTTCCCCCTACTCAGAACTAGAAGTAATTTGACGTACATATTCATAGAAAAACGGAATACCGCGGCAATACCGGTAAATAATTGGAGTAATTAAAAGCGCTCGATTGTATTGTACCATTTATTTTTTATATAAGAGAATAATTAACCAGCTTCAATAAAATATTGTGCTTTGTTCAACTCCACTCTATTTCTACCCTTTTTCAGTCTCTCATTGTAACTCCTTCTAATGATCCGTTTAAGCTTTACGAGTTGAACGCTTTAAATACCTACATTAAATTTTTCAAATTACCTACATCTGGTAATGCGTCGGCGCATTTCATTCGTCATTGTTGGAACCACTAGTACGCGTCTTTCCCATTGCGATTGATCGTTTCCGTCTTCTCCTCTTGAAATTAAATGAAATTTGCGCGTTTCTGTAAAATAAGTTATTGAATATCAAATTATGTACTCGTGAATCAGTAATTTTAACTTCATCCCAGTTACAAAAAATGTAACTGTTTTTACAGTGAGCTTTTTTATAAATTGTCCACGTTCAACAAGTGCCGTTATTTGCTAAGTTACATCACAATTTCCCCAGTACGAGCGATACAGGGTTAAACATCTGAATTATATTACAATTTATAAACTTTTTTGTACAATACAAGACCTCTAAAGAAAAAAAACGCGGTTATAACCGATTACGAAATTGTAAGAAGTTGAAGCATGAAATGATGCCAAGAAAGTACGAACTTTTGTATCACAGTAATGCATCTATCGCTGCTGATTTATTTACAATAATAAGTGTATTGGTATGAAATTACCTTTATCTACGTCGCTTTTCTTTAATAAAAACATATATGCTAACTTGGGCATTTTTCATCACCTAGATCTATTTCTTTTTTCAGCTTTTTGATCGTATATGTAGTAAAGTTGTAACGCCGGTACGAGCGCCACCTAGTGATGCTGCGCAACGTGCACGGAACGCTATCGACGCTGTTAGGGACCTGGAACAGCGTCGCGGCGTCGATCACAGGGATCTGCAGGAACTACGGGATCTACTGAACAGGGCGCATTTTAAGGTGAGATTTGTTCAAACATTGATTTATTACAATCAAATTACCGTAATGTTGCAGCAAATAAATCTTTTAAGTTCTGAACAACTCCTTAAGTCTCGTGTTAAATTAATTATTGACAGAAAATGAATTAGAGATTTCGGTTTTGCACTTTGCACAATTTTGCATTCCTCAAACAGATGGCAGCATTATTTCATTCTGTACATTCCTATACGAATGGAGTTTCATTGAAGGGAGGGTGGCCTATTTATAAATTGTTTCTATGCTTTAGTCAATGGAAAATAGAGACACACAATTGCTTACACAATCAAACGATAACACGAAAATTTATATTGCACTAATAAAGCCTGCAAGATTCTTTGAATAATATCATCCCCAAAAGCGTTTAAAAATTTATGGCAAATGTCTGCCTCCGATTCGTAGTTTTAAAATTCCTAACTTCAACGCGAATCAACAACGTAGAGGTTCATCGGCTTGTAATGAGATTCACGGACGAAAATCAACCCCTAAAGCGTTTAAGACTTTATAGTAAATGTCTGCATCGGAAGAACCCATTAATACTTAGCTTTAACATCGTTTACTCCTAGACGGAACGACAATATGGAGTCTCATCGACTTGCAATGTGATTCGGGTGTAAAATCATGCCCTTAATGCGTATAAAAATTGATATTAAAGGTCTTCATCGGAAGACTCATTAAATTTAAGTTTTTTTTTAAGTGTCTTTGCGTTGCGTTGAAGTAACTTTTCAATGTTTAGCTAAGTTTGGATTCACGATCAAAGATTACAAAATTGAAGGTATACCTACCTAAAAACTTGAGTTGTGATTGTAGGAAAAAAGAATTTTAACAAACGAAACATTTTAGATTTGGCTTTATTTAGGGGAAATATTTGTTTTGGTTCTCTCTTGCTTTCATTTTTTGCGTACCTGTTGCATCCTGGCGTGTACATAATTCATACATCGACATCCTTAACTGTATTAACCGTATTGCTGCGTGCAATGGTATACGGTCACTATACACCACCCCAAAACACCTGTCCAGCGAGCTCAAAACAAATCAATTCAAAATTGAAACTGAGACTTGAGACTCCGTGACCTCGATCAACCTCCAATTAATTTATTAAATCTGACATGAAAACGTCGTCAGTCGCACAAAAGGTTCGTATAAGCACAGAACTAATTGATCTACAATGCCAAAATTGATTACGAAACACATCAAACAATTAACACTAAATGTCTGAAAGAAACAGAAGCTTACAAAGCTTGTTTGGACATAATACCCCGCACGCACGCGTTAATAATTAAAAATTTTAAAAATTACTTACATTTTCTTTTAGAAATCAAATAATCTGGTCGTAAAGGGTTGAAATATTCAGGCGTACTTATCAAAAACACAATAACAGTCGCTAACAGCTTCAGGAAACTTTATTTCTTCAGCGACTCGAACTGGCTTGATAATAAGGTGAACAAATTTTTGGTGGATGCTCGGATGGTAGAAACTTTTAACTGTTTTATTGAGTCCCACTCGTAGTAACTTTGCTTGAATACGGAACAAACCGTTTTAATAACTTTTCACAAACTTTTACTACTGCACTGAACGATCTCGTTGATTCTGGTGTTTAAAGAAACATCACTTCCACCTTCAAATAATCTCCTTTCTCAAGATCTTTCTAATCAACCATCAATCACAATCAGATTTGATAACGCCAGCTCTGAAGGAACATGTCCCCACTTACGTCGAAATATCGCGCACCTTATTTTTTCTAACAGCCATAAGAACTTTTTATCGCAAACGACCTAATATCCCTACAGTTTAATACGCAATTTCACGTGTAATGTACTAATCTAAATAAATAATTTATAAAAGCGATAAATTTTAAACAAAAAAAATAATACGCATTTATAAACAATTTTAAAAGGAAAAATAACACTCGGCCACTAATTCAAGTAAAATAAACCAACTTTGTGCTTATTCGTAAATACCTATAAAAAGATTTATGCGGGTCACTCTGTAATTGGTCGCAACCCTGTTGAGGACCCAGAACAAGAGGGATAATAAATAAATTACGATACCTGCCCAAAGTGACCTCCATTGCTGTTTATGCACAATTCATATGTCCTCTTCAAATTTTCTAATGTATAGCCAACTATGTGTTATTCCTTACTAGTGCAAAAAGGCACTAAGAAATGAAATCTATGTTACACAATATTATACAGCGAGCGGCGAAAATATGGAACAAATTCATTTAAAAATCAGGTGTTAGGTTTAAAAGGAATTGCTAGCACACGTCTATCATAATTTTTTCTTATACATTTTTTTGCACTAAAGGGAACACATACAGAGTGCGTAGAATTTGACCAAGAATTCGAAATGGATTTTAAAAAACCTGGTCCATTTAAAAAAATCGATTTTGGAATCAAAATCTACTTTTTGACGCACCCTGTATATTTTCTCCTTAGTGCAAAAATTGCGCGAGAAAAAATGTGATAGACGTGTGTGTGCATTTTATTTATCCAACACCCGATTTTTAAACGAATTTATTCCATATTATAGTGTGTATGTGTATTCACGAAATACAAGGTTACTCAAAACTATAAACATATACAGGTTATCCCCTCGTTATCCCATTAAAGATATTGAAAACGTAAAATTCCATTCAAGTTTTATTTTATTTTATTTTTTATTTTGCATTTATTTTTGAGTGGACGGAGTTTCAGCCAAGGCTGCTCTACCAACTCAACCCACTATACATTTACAAATATCTATGCCCGAGCTCGGATTCCAAAAGTTATTAAATAGACAAAGTGCAACTAAAGAACATGCAAATTGTGACGTGAGATAAGACGGCATTGCTTTTTCTCAAAACTTCCCGCGGAAACGGGCAGCTCTGTCAGGGACAGGGCATGAAATACTCTGTTGTTAGTTCGTAGATTACAAAATGTTCGTAAACATCCTCGTGTGTTACTAAAAAGTTTAGCGCCACCCATTTCCTTTAAACGACTTGAAACTGGGAATGGAGGAAGGCGATAAAATACCACAGTTGCAGTTTTCCGCAACAAAAAATCTAGTAATTTATTTAAAATTGACCTAGGCGTCAGTAGCACAATCACTGGTGTAAACAGAATTCATCTATCTCTAATCGTTTGGCCGCATTCCTTCAATTTAGTCGATTTCCTTATTGCCCCATAACTTTCTTTTTATTAAAGATAATTGATTTTAGCAAAATCCTTCTTAACACACTTTTTTATGTGATTCACAGTTTTTATACAGGATGTTTGGTTTTTCTTATACGACCCTATTTATATTTTTTCATATGGACCACCCTATACATTTTGTAGTTTTTGAAAAGAGCGTAAAATTTCCTAAATTTTGAGATATCACTTATTATATTTATATTAAATATTATTTCCAATATTGCGTTTTATACATTAAAATGTTTTTATTGGAGATATCTATAGGAACAAAAGATGGTAGGATTGTGTAAAAAGACAATTTTTTGATTATTTGGAAATTAGTTTCCAAATACTTTTAATTGCAAATAACATACAAAAAACAAAGAACGTGAAAACACATGCGAATAAAACAAATAAGTCATATAATATATAAATAAATAATACAAGTAACAAAGACTCGTGTACAATTCTGAAAACCATGATTTCTGAACTCCTAGTGAAGCTGCTAATTATTGCTTCTTTAGTCTTGCATCCTTCAGTACCACACACTAGGTTCTTTCAACAAGTGATCACGTTAACAGGGCGCCCTAGACGGTACTCACCATCCAGTGATTGTCGATCATGTTTAAACAATTTTCACCACTCGCAGATCGTTGACTTAGGATGGCAATCATCTCCGTGTACAGCAACATTTGTTTAAGAACAATTTTGGAAGGGTTTCCTTGTTTTGTAAGGCATTTTATAACAGACCGGTATTCGATTATATTCATTTCGATACATATACAACGCGCGACGGCACAAACTTATAATAAATAAAATAATTTTGTGCAATTGTTTTACACACACAAGTTACCAAGACATATGTACTTAAAAAACAGCATAATGAAAAATTGCATCAATATTTAAAACAACCAAGTCAGGGAATACAAAAAAGACACCTGGTATCTCTGCGCCTTCACGTAGTATTACATACTTCTATGTTACAGCAAAGTTCTTGAAAACTGAAGGTGTTAAAAGTCAATGTGACATAAATTTTATATTCCGATTCTCATTTAACCAATGAAATCGTAAAGTGTTAGGTTATATAAAGTTTTAACGTCCTATTTATGGCCGTCACCATTGGTGTGTTTGTGCTGCTGTTGTAAACATTAAAAATAAAATGGAAATTCTCCTCGTGCTCGTAACAAAACTTCTCGATGTATTCAAGTTGAAAGTACTTTTCAGAGTCGTAACGACTCCGCAATATGTAACTTCTAAAAGATCCATGAAGCATAAAATACGATTAAAATAAACAAATTCATGCCATTTCAAGTATTCATCTTTTTTAACTTTTGATACGTTTTATTGATGCTAATGAAAATATGACCGTGTAACTTTCAACGCGACCGATTTGTTCTCTTTAACAAGCAACATCGACTACAAGTCCCAGTTGACCTACATTTCACCAAAGATCCCCTAAACTGACGAGCACTCCATCTATAGACCGTGATATAAATTACTAAAGAAAGGTCTTGGAAAATGCAACATAAAAAGGAATGATTTAGGGAAACTTAACTAAAAGTATTGAAGTGTTTTATCCGTTATCATTTTAGACGTTGACGAGGGTGGCTAGATACATGGCGCAGATTGTATTCTTTATTGAAAATATAATTACCGCTTAACTTTTTTTAGAATTAGGTTTAATTATTTTCATTTGTGCACAGCTTAATGAATTCGTTGAAAGCTAATTTGGCTTCCGCTTTCTAGCCGCCTTATTCCTCCATAAATTAAATGCCAACGATGCGTTATAATGTAATTGGTTTTATAAATGTTAGAGGTTACATTAATGTTATTTTGAAAATGAAAATTGTTGCATAGTAGTGTTGACTAAATCATTTGACGATTAACAGTTTTATTAATTGTTTTCTAGAAAATTGAGTAATATTGAAAGCGTAAGAGGAAATTAAGTGTTAAACA